TTTTTTTTTTTTTTTTTTTTTGTCTTTTTTCGTGACCGGCAACGGATCGCAACCCTCGGTGTTGCCCCCACTTCTCGCTCAGCCAGTGAGCGGCCGGTCTGTATGTGGGATCCGAACCCTCGGCGGGAGCGCCGCCACACTTGCCAAGCGGCGCACTGTAGCAGTGCACCACCGGGCCGGCCCCAATAAAATATTTTTTTAAATAAAAAAAATTTTAAATGAACATCAACTCCTTTCCCTATGACTGTGATTTCTGTACCTCTATGGTTAAATCATTTTTTTCTGTAGGATCTTCCCAATAATATGATTTACCAAGTTGCCATTAAGTCTCTTCCTCAAGACTGGCTGTGGTGTGAAACCTGGTGTGATGATGAATCCAAGCAAAGAGCCAAAACAATTGATCTGGTGAGTGTCTCTGTTTTTGTTTTTATATAAGCAGATATGGAAATGTTTAAGTGAAAATATTTTCTGTTTTACTAAATGGAATGGCACACATATTACCTCACTTTTTCTGCTGCTCAGTCTATTACACATTTACCTAGTTGATACATATAGGGCTGTGTCGGGGGCTCCCAAGATCACCTTAGGTTTGGTGATTTGCTAGGAAGACTCACAGGATGCAAAATATAGTCGTACTCACAGCTCTGATTTATTACAGTGAAAGGACACAAAGTTAAAGTCAGCAAAGGGAAAATGTGCATGGGAAGATAAACAGATACAAGATTGCAGGAGTCCTCATTCTGTGAAGCCACACAGGATAAGCTTAACTCCTCAAATTCCACAACGTGTGGAGTGTTGCCTACCAAGGAAGCTTATTAGAAACCCAGTGTCCAGGGTTTTTATTGGAGGCTGGTCACCACATAAGCATCCTCTGCCTGGCGCACACCAAAATTCCAACTCCCAGAAGGAAACAGACATTTAGCGTAAACTATAATATTTGCATGAACAGTTTAGACACAGGGATCCACTCTTATCAGGGAATGATGGGAACCATCCTGAAACCTAACTTCCCAGATGCCAGCCAAGGGCCAACCTTACAAGCAGACCTTTCTGAGAATCACAGTCTCAGGCCTGCTTTTCTGCACAAGGGCTTTTGAAAGAAAGGCCATGAGCTGGTTGAAAATGTTCATGGATTAGCTATCATCTTAACATATCTTTATTTTTCCTGTCAATATTTTTCCCAAATAAAGACAATCGAGATAATTTTGTCTACTTAAATCATCCTATACATGTCTATTTTTCTTATTTTTGAGATTATTTTTCTTAGATTTTCATTTTAAGCAGTTTATGCTACACGGTTTAACTCTCCTAAACATAAAATACTTTAAACTAACTTATTTATTGTCCAGCTGTCTAGAACTTACATTCCAAAACTATATTGTCTTTGTAGCTACATGATACTGCAGTTCTTTTTCTGACCATATTGTTTTTAATGTACTAACATAAATATAGAATAATTGTTTACAAAATCTTCACTGAAGAATAAGCTATCAAAATGTTAAATTTCATACACTTCTGAACAAAATAAGGCAGGACAATAAAACATAGGGACATTTTTCCAGACATGTATAGAAATGTATATTTTAAAGTAGCTTGCCAACATGTTAGAATTCAATCATAGGTGACAGAATGTATCGCCTATACATTGTGATAGAATGTATCTATGAAGTAAAGTGACATTGTTAAGAGGAAAGCAAGAGAATTTTATGAAGAGGTCAATATTACTGAACATAATTATTAAGATATTAGGTTGTGTCATACAGATATGGTTATGACTCATATTGTAGTGATAGAGGTCCCCTTGGGATTTTAGATTAACTTAGCTTAATATGATCTACTTAGATTAATATGAGCTACTATAACAAACTCCCAAATTTCAGTGGCTTCACACCCAAGTAGCAAGCAGACTTAAGTGGGTATCCTCCTCATCAGTGAGTAGCTTCCCTGTGCATTGTGACTCAGGGACAACTCTCCATCCACCTGTGATTTCTGCATCCCCTTGGGTCCTGTCATCACCTATATTCATCTTGATCTGCTCCTTCCAGTACAGCACCCACTTGCCACATGAATCTGTTGAGCACTTAAAATGTCGTTAGTCTGAATTGAAATGTGCTGTAAGGTGAAAAATACACCAGATTTTGAAGACTCAGCACAAATAAAAAGAATGTAAAAATATCTCATTGATTACATGTTGACTAGTAACATTTTGGATATATTAGATTAAACAAAGTATAGTATTAAAATTTATTTCACCCTTTTACATTTTCATATGTGGCTATTAGAAAATTTTTAATTACATATGTGATTTCCATCATATTTCTATTGGATAGTGCTGATCTAGAGGAAATAGAAAAGAGTGTGGAGAATGGTCTCTTAAAGGCCTGGCCTGGCCCCTGGGTGGGAGTTGGTCTCATAGCCATATCTATATATAAGAGGAGCTGAGAAATGTCATTCCTGGATGGACACTATTTCCTAGCAACAGTGCTACAGAAAAAGGAGGGGTGGTATAAATTTTGGCATTTAGCCTAACGATCTCTCCCACAGAAACACTTAAAAATGAGAGAACATGCTATTCTTTGCTAGCTTCTTGGGGGAAAAGTTGAGGAAATGTAGAAAAATCCCAAGGAAATGGCCTAACAGAGGAAAAGAGCATGATTAGTGGTATTGAAGGTGGGAATGAAAGTGTTTATGAATGTCATGATACCATCTCAACTGTCCATTTCAGTCGAGGTTTCTCAGAATTATTGGCATTTGGGGTTGGATGATTGTTGTTGGGCTGTCCTGTGCATTGTGGAATATTGAGCATCATTCCTGTCCTCTACCCACTAGATGGCAGTAGCACTCCACCGCACCCTCCACCCCGAGTCATCACACCCAAACTTTTCTCCAAGCTTTTCCAAAGTTCCCCTAAGGGACAAGACTGGCCAGTTACCAACCATGGATAAAGATTGTAGCCAAAAAAAAAAAAAAAAAAAAAAAAAAAAAAAACCAAAAAAA